TTGGTTTTAGGGACTCTTTGAGTCGTACGTCTTCCTCTGACGTTAGCTACGGCAGCCCCGCTGCAGAAACCACAGCCACAGAGAACTTGGTCACGCGTGTAGTGCCCGACGATGACGAAGGTGCTGCTCCAGTACTTGACCTGGATGAAGCTCGACCGTCGACCTCCAGGGAGACCGTTCCGTCTAACGTTGAAGTTCGTGACATGATACCTCTTCAACGTGACGTGAGCATGGAGAATGCTATAGTCCCTTATGAATCGACCCATCCTATGATAACTAGGGCTCGTACTCGTCACATTGATGAGACCACCGACCCTGAGGAGGCGAGTGCAAGGAAGAAGCAAGTCATCGATGCTCCAGCGTCAACGGGGACCAAGCGTCTGAAGATGACTCAAGAGCGCGTGAGGTCAAACGGTGACCAATTTCCGATCGTAGACGGTCAAGCCAGATCCGCTACGGAAGATGTCCCGAAGACGTATCGAGAAGCTACGACGTACGAGAATAAGATCGAATGGAAGAAAGCTTCTGCGTGCGAGCTGAAATCCCTTCTCGCCAACAAAACGTGGAAACTTGTTACAAAACCGAACCACCAGCGACCAATCGGTTGACGCTGGGTGTTCGCATTGAAGCGCGACGAAACAGGGAAGATTATCCGGCACAAAGCTCGTCTTGTGACGAAAGGATACTCACCGCGTCATGGCATCCACTACGAGGAGACCTACGCGCCGGTGGCTTACCTGAACCATGTTGGAAAAGTTTTGCGCAGATGGAATGGTGATTGAGCAATGCGACGTCGATACAGCGTTCTTGTATGGCAAGCTTGAAGAAGTGTCCGTTCCCGCCAAGCGCGTTCGTTGCAAATCATTGCGATGACAAAACCTGTATGATTTGAATGATTTTGCCGAGAGACCTACAGGAAAGGTAGGAGTTTATGCACGTGCAGGAAGCAAGAACAGATAACTAAATCAATCTGACTTTTGGATTTACCTTCCTTCACTCACTACACTACCAAGCTTCGTTCGCTATCTGCAATTAATCACTACTTTGCAGTCACGTTGTTTTATCTTGTATCCTAGAAATCTAAATTAAATTGAAATGGATATCAGAGGTGGACGGATAGACGGTCGGTCATCTTAGACCCTCTGCAGTTATACAAGTATTTACACGTCACATGCAAGATAAGTGGACATTATGATGGTCACCTGGTAATAGTCTTGTTTTCACTACACTCTATTGGTGTCCTACGCGTGTGCGCCTTTTCGCACAAATTAATAGAATACTTCCAAGTATAAAACTTATATATAGTTTTATATTATTTTAACTCTTACATGAACGGGTACTTTTGACCTGGCTATATTGTAGTTAAGAAGTTCAAGTCATAAGGCCGTCAAAGGGGACATTTTGCCCCAGTTCATATACTACGGTACTACAGCAAATCTTCTGCAAATCCTTGTAGTTCAAGTAGAAAGGGCGATTCTGCCTCGCCCACACACCAAATTTAATGAAAGGGGGAGAGGCGTACCGCAACCACAATACGACAATACCGCAGAAAATAGCGCAAACTTATGACCTAAAGCGACCACAAAACCATATGTTCGCTGGTAATTTATTTTAAATTACATTGCCACGTCGTCGTCGTCACCAATATCGCCAATACATAACGCGATAGCGTACGAGCACTGCCTAAATTTAGAGCTATGTTAACCACATTAAGTGCATGTATCCAACTTATTAGTGGGTTTACTACGCAGTTTCCGTGTGGTACACATTCTTAGCACTTAGCATGTTTCGCAAAGATCCAAGCACAGCGCAACAATGGACGGACGTTTGCTGGCACGTGAGCTGGTGCGCGCACGAGTTGGCGAGCTTATGGACATGAAGAACAAGCTAGATAAGATCGGCACGGGTCTGGAAAATATACTAAGAGTTCAGATGGAGCTGTTGTCTCGCATTGAGGACAACGAGGAGAACATATAAGCGTTGGCTTCAGAAATGAGCGACATCGGCGTAGTTCACGACGGAAACCTATCGTTCGGGGTGCTGCTAGAGATGGCAGTCAACAAATTGAATAGCTAGTGTTAAGTATTGTCTGCATTAAGCCTTAATACAGCTTCAACGTCCTACTTTAGTTCTTTCAGTAGCTGATCGTGAATGTTCTTCATTCTTTCCGCTTTGCCACGAGCCATGGGGATCTCGCGTGACTTACATAGGATCAACCACAACATTCGCAGACACATAACCTGTACGTCGGTCTTGGAAACGTTACTGTGCTACCATTGAAAATTCCCATGTACGTAACTGAAAGCCTGTGCCACAACAAACACTCCACAGCTCGCGTAGTCAAGTTGCTGCGGAACTTCGACCCACTCAATCGGATCTATGCGTAGTTTAGTAGTGGGTGTCGAAGCTTGGCACCATCGCTTCACGAAACCGCGAAGCCCTTCCATAACGACCTTATTCTCCTGGTCCTTAATGCCCTTCCAAACTTCCTCCATATCCTCGTGGTACTCTTCGTCGATGAGGGGCTCATACAGGTAGGGATGTACCCGTAAAGTATCAGCACTTTCCAGATAGTGTAATGCCGTGATTACGACTCCCCAATGGCTCCTTTTCAAATTGACCGGCTGGATGATAAACTTGGTATCGGTTATAAGCTTCTTTGGTGTCGTTGGCCACCCAGTTGA